TTTTTCATGAATTTGCAAACAGAGCTTATGCCTAACAATGGCAAAATAATTTCAGGATTTCTTTGAGAATTCATTGTTCAGTTATGATAACAAACAACTTTCCATAATGCGTCTGCAAACATATTCTAGAATGTGTTACACAGATAATAAAGACGTATCAGTGACTGGCAGGATATATGCTTCATTATGATCAACTAACGCAGCACCTAATCATACAATAATATAGCGTACCGGTTTACTTCAAAATTCCTACCAAGTTCAAATATTTTGAAGTCATTGCTGTATGATTGAAAATAAGATAATCTGAGATGTTGAGGATATAGATATCACGTGAAAATTCCTTTGGGTTGACTGCTGCAGTCTAATAGAGCGTCAAAACATTCATGCATTGGAGATAGTCCTTTTCTCTGAAGTGGATACTGCTGCTATACTTTTCAAAAACGAAAATTCCGTGACTTCTGTCCCGAAAAAGTTCTGAACTCTTTTCTTAAGCGTGTTAAGAAAGATCTTAAAGAACAAATATTATTATGATCTGAATTTGTCGCTGTCTGCTCAACCTTATCTCTGGCTTAAATAACAGAAAACGGAACACGAATAATTCGGTTTGGTTTATTTCGTTACGGCAAATTACACAAGAGCTATCTGCTTAAGGGGAGGGATGCCTTCCCGAAGAACTTTCTAAGGGAAACTGTCTCGTATACACGTCACGCATGTAGGAAATCACGAGAACGGCCATGCAGCCAGGCCATTTACCAGGATTTTGAACCCCGGACCGAACTACGAGTGTTCGGCGACTTTTACTGCTCGGCGGCTGTGGGTCTGGACACGAACAAAGTATCTTCGGAAGTTAACCCAAACGGAAGTTATCGACAGAAGATCGTCGGAAGTTAATGTTATCTGTTGTCCATGAGCAATATTAATTTCTTTTTCTATTTCAGTTTCTGCTGTGGTCTTAAACACATCTGAAACACCTTTTTGACTACTTTATTTACAGAACTTTCCTGATTGAAGAATTACGTTCACAATGATGACTGCCTTGTAGGCATACAATTTGCTATATCTTTCGTAAGCACTCACCTTAAAACAACCCAGTTGCCTAATCGACAAGAAATCGTGAATTTTTATATCTGCGGCATCTTCAGCAAAGGAAGGGAGATCAGTAATGAAAGCTGTTAAAAACTTGATATTCAACTTTAAAGGTATTAAACAAAGAGAAACTGCACACAGATGGCAAAATCGAAGGCCTGAATTGTTTTCTTTCACATTTTCACTTTCCTTAAAAATGGGGAGAAATAATCATCCATTATTCATTGCATCTGTAGTTCTGTCGAATTAAAAGCATTCTTTTCCAAACGAAAACTTGTTTTTAACCTCAAATGCAAGGGAACTTAATCGTTTCTCTTGCAATACTTTTGGTTTAAAATTTATTTGCTATGCTTCTAGAGTCTGGGGAACAGCTTTAAAAATGAAGATTAATTCCCGTATCCTTCGCAGAATTCAAAGAAAAATGTTACTAAGAGTTGTTCGTAGTTACAGAACATTTAGCTATGAAGGCTGTTTCGCAATTTTGGGGTTTTCTCCGATTGATCTTCATGTTTTAAATGACGAAATGTTTAAAGATACCATCAGCAAATTTATGTTCGATATCAAGATGCTGTTTGAAGCTCTTCCTCATCCTGTAGATCGTTTGCCACTTCTATCATTTGTAACAACTCCGTTGATGATAATTTCCCAGTTGTGGGTTATACAGATGGCAGTAAAATTAATAATTGAGTTGGATTAGCTTATGTTGCTTTCCGTCATGATTCTGACCTGGGATGCAAACTCTTTAGAATTTCCAATGAATGCAGTGTTTTCCAAGCCGAATTACTGTGCATTAGTGAGTCAATTAAGTGGATATCTAATAACTGTTCGTTAAGTGCTAAATTTCATATTCGCACTGATTTTCTTTCATCTTTGTATTCCCTTAGGAATATCTTCTCATGTAAAAAATTTATTTTCACTTCTCATGCCAGTCTTAAAGATTTTTAGGTTTTGATGTCATCTTTTCTCAAGTACGTGGCTGAACTGGCAATCTAAGAAATGAAAGGGCTGATTGGTTTCCAAACCAAGCCAAAAATCTTCAAGTTAGACCTCCAAGGGGCATCCCCCTTTCCGTGTAGTGCCTAAGGAATCACTACTTCAAGTTGAAGAAAATCTTCAAGTTAATACTCCAATGATACTGCCTAAGTCTTTTTTCAAGAGAAAAAGTAGAGCTGATACAATACTCAAGTGGAATAAATTATACAGAAATTCTACTACGGCCTTTCTTACTAAATTAATTCTTCCTTCCATTCCTCACAGACTGAATAAAAACTATTTTTTCTGCAATTTTGAAATTACTAAATTTGTAACTAACTGGACATGATAATTTCAACTCATATATGAAGAGATTTGGGTTATCTAATACAGACTTTTGTTACTGCAGCTTCGGGGAAGTGCAAAATGTCGAGCATTTGTTGTTCTATTGTTCAAAGCTTACGAAAGGACGAAAAGAACTCATTTTTAGGTTGAAATTCTGTGAACATTACATTTTTTAAAATTCTTCGGATCTAGTTTTTTGATGAGATATTATATTTAATAGAAAGAAAACATTGTTGAATATAATGCTTAGTTAGTAACAAAGAGGAAAGAGGAAGCTGTGAAGGTAATTTTAGGTTTTACTCTTTTTCCTATAAGAAGACACAACTAGGGAATATAGAATTCCGTGTTAAGGTCAACACTTTTTGATCGAGAAGGATGCAATGTGTATTAATCCGTAACTAACGAAATTAAATATAATACTGAATATCTCTTTCACTTTGAATTCCACTAAAGGAACACAAAATACAAGTGCATTAAGTGAGTAACACTTCTTTTCCAAGGATATAAATTTGCATGGATAGAGTCATCGTTTGAAAATAATATGATGTGTGGCAGAGAGAATTAGTAGCATCCTGAAGCTATCTCTTATAAAGTTCTCAAAAAGTACAGGAATAGACAAGTACAAGGAAAGTGGGGTGCCAGAGTTTCACCACTGGTCTTGCACAATCTGTGCAATTCAGCCCTAAATTTGAGGGAGAACGTCCCGAAGGTAATCTGCCGGTCTCCAGCTTCTCTTCTTCTACCACTAACTTTTCAAGAGGACTTTCAGCTCACGGTGTATTTTGAGCCCCTCCTTGCCACACAGAGTCCATTTTGAGTGCATTCCCTACGTTCTACAGGATTCAAACCTGGTATTTTCGGATGGCATTCAAAGCCACTAATCAGTATACTGTTTCGGCGGCTAAATCAATAGACGTCATGCTTTAGAGAGTTGAAGAAGACCAGTGAAGTTATAACGAAGCGAATGGAGTAGCAAAGAGAGAGTCACTTCAAGAACCTTGGATCTGCCTATCTAATATTTAGTATACACTGGATTTTTAGTGTTTTTACGCTTATTCATTTATATATTTATTGCTTACATTATACTAAAAATAACTTTTCTGTAGCAAGCTAAGCATACATTTTAATTTTTTTCAGCATAATAACGATACAAAAGTATTTCATAGAGTGTAAAATAAAAAGAATAAGATTTAAATTGAAGGTCTCAACAACTGTAGTCCATGTTGTTACACAACAAGAGTGATTACTAAATATTTAGCCACATAGATAGCATTTACAAGTAATACCGCATAGATCCGGATATAAAATAGGTGACATACATGATGACATTAAATTTTCGAAAGTCTTTGATTGAGAAAGAAGTATTTGTGTACAAGGTGGTCTGATTACCTTCTATAAAAAAGGCAACTAAATGACATAAATACAATATATTGAGATAAAGCTTGTAGAGAAATTAGGTTATTGCGGAGCAAGAGATATGAAAAATGAGCAATGCCCTGCCTGGGACTCGAACCACGGACCTCTCGATAAGTGATAAGTGACGGAGGACGTGGGCACTGTCCCTTTACCTTAATGGTTAATCAGTAAAGCACCACGTCCGCCATTATCCAGAGCCGCCAATGGGGTTCGCTGCCGTCCAACTGCCCGGGTCCCAGTGTTTGTTGATATCTGAGAAAAATATAAGTACATGGCCATACAGGGGCTTTTTTAACATGCTACTTTTACAATACGTTACGATACTAATGATTCAATTATAATACATTTAAAAACTAATTTTGCAGCATGCACTATATATTACGATACTGATTTATACAATTCATACATTACCAATTATACATTAGAGTACTAATTATGCAATTTCAATACATTATAATACTAATTATGCAGTACACACATAAACTTTACAGTGTATGTTACGATGAATAATAGAAACATTACCAATTATACAATTATTATACATTACAATACTAATTACATTACCAATTATACAATTATTATACATTACAATACTAATTACATTACCAATTATACAATTATTATACATTACAATACTAATTCAGTGCTACTGCTAGTAATTCTGATAAATATTACACATAGTTATGCAGTAATTCTCAAATGTATTCTCAAGCATGTAAGTACATATTCAGCAATTTTGAACAGTTTGGCACTGATCAAGCCTAAGGCAGAAGGTATGTGCATGACTTTTATTATTATATTCACGCAAATAGACAATTGATTGATAGTGTATTCACTTGCAGGTGTTTTTTTTTTTCAAGCACATAATTACATGAACATAGTCAGTGTTACTAAGCTATTTGGCAGAGATCGGTGCCTAACGCAGATAGTTTGTCCATGATTTTTGTTATTTTTTCCACAAGATATTATTGTTTAATTATAAATTTACAATAGGCTTGTCTATTAAGCTCTGGTAAATGAACGTGATGCTGCTCTGTGAGTGGGCAGTCTGTGAGATAATGATCCGGGCTGCCTATATTACCACAAACACAATTATCTGTTTCTTTCTGTAATTCTGAATCTTTCAAAGTACTGTGGAAACGGGCCATGCCCTGAGACAAATCGGACTAACAGTGAATTCCCTATATTGCGTTCAAGATGCACCTTTGGAATAAAATAAGCTGTCCTTCGTCCTGTATTGCTGATATTCCATTCATTTTGCCATGTGTCAGTTGCTTTCTGCCTGAGTGTTTTTTTTTGAAGTGTGACATTGGCCAGAGTATATGATACTGCCTTATATTGTGTTCTGTAGGATTTTCAGCAGCCGCTTGCTTTGCTAAAGTATCAGCAAATTCGTTCCATGCATGACCTGCATGCGCTTTGACCCATTTGAGGAAATATTGGCTATTGTAGTTTTCCCTTAGTATCTTTTGTATTGCAGTTACAATGGGAGAAGAGTGATCGGGATTATTGATCGCATGTATCGAGGATAAACTGTCAGTAAATATGATAGCTCTATTATGACGCTGTTCTACTAGGTAAGTTAATGCTTCTTTTATAGCCAACATTTCGCTCTGGAAGACAGTATTATTTTCATGCAAGTGCCCTTGCCAAGTATGTAGAATGTTTTGGTTAGCGACTGCAACAAATGCACTTCCTACGCCATTATCAATTTTCGATCCATCTGTATATAGGCATACTTTAACTTCTGGATCTGTTGCGTTTTGGTGCAGTATGCGGACTCCAATTCCTTTCTTGGCTGGATGTATTTGAACATTAATTAGAGATCCTTCATAATCCGAGGGGTTATAAATCTCATCTTTGTATTGAGTAATTTGACTTAATTGCTTCAATGTTTGCCTAGCTGCCTCTTCTTCAATTCTAATGTGTAAAGGAAGTAGTCCGGCAAGCACATTTAAGGCATCCGTAGAAGTTGTACGATAGGCCCTAGTAATCAGTAGTGCAAATGGTCTTTGAATCATGTTTAAGTACTTGATTTTCCGACCTTGCATTGGTGACGCCCATACAGCGCATCCATAGGTAATGATTTTTTCAATTACTGTTTGGAAGAGGATTTTCTGAAAATGGTGACTGATGCCCCATTTATTGCCTTGAAATTGTTTTAGATAATTGGCTATGGTCACTGCTCTTTGTTTCAGATTGAGGAGGTGCGGAATCCAGGTGAGTTTGGTGTCAAAAATGACTCCCAGATAGCGCAAGGTTTTTCACTATTTATATGCGTTGATTGTTAATGCAAATTCTGGGCTGTCTGGTAAGTGAGCCACCTTTTTTCGGGAAAAGTATAATTTTTGACTTGTTATCAGCTATCTTTAATTTCCGCTCTAGAGAAAGTTGATGAAATTTTTCACAGACTTCATTACAATTCCTTTGTATTTCATCGCGACTCTTAATCTTTACTATGAATGCTACGTCATCCGCATACGCATGTATGCTTGCATATTCAGGCCAGGATGTCGCTATGATATCATTGAAGGTAACATTCCACAGATGTGGCCCCGCACAGGATCCCTGAGGACAGCCCATAGTTTGTTGGTTTTCCAATATTCCACTATTATGAACAATGATGAGACGTCTGTCAGAGAGATAGTGTGAAAGCACCTTAAAGATGTTGCTGGGGCAGTTAACTGATCTTAATGCTTCCTTTATTGCTGGCCACCATAGCATATCAAACGCGCTTTTTAAGTCAATGCTGACTAGAGCCGTGTGATAGCCATGGTTACGGTTGTCATAGATGGCCTTTTGTATATCATTTAATGCATGTAACGTAGAGCATCCTGTGCGAAATCCATATTGGCGTGGATGCAGATAATTTCCAGAGTGTAGATGATGGCGAAGACGATTCATGATCAATTTTTCAAAAATTTTCCCCAGGGATGGTAGCAAGCATATAGGGCGATAGGCCGAAGGGTCTTGAGGGTTGCGGTTCTTTTTAAGGAATAATACAACTTGTCCAACTTTGAAGGCCTGTGGAAATGTGCCTGTGTGTAACAGTTTATTAAATAATTTAACAAAGAATGGCAGGCAAGCGCCCACTGCTATTTTCATTATTGCATAATTAATTCCATCAGGGCCTGGGGCCTTCTTTTTTGGTAATTGTCTTAGGACTTGTTTTACCTCCATATTGGTAAAGTGGACGTCGGATGGTGTTGGAGGTGTACTGTTGTTAATTCTCATTTGTGTGTGACTAGCTGTATCATCTTCCAGAGAGTCTTGGTATATAACCGAGTTTAAAATACTCTGAAAAGTTGCAGCTGTATGTTGGTTGGAAAGATCAGGAGATGTAATTAGCTGAAATTGAGTAGGTTTAAAGAGTTTTTCTGTAGCTATCTTATGTGGTATGCCATAGACATCAGTAGACTCCGTACAGAATGTTCTCCAAGACTGCAGTCTCGATTGCACAATTAGCTTTTTATAGGCCGCTCTTTCTCTCTGAAAAATCACAAGTGTATTTGTTTGAATATTGTTCCTTCTTTCTTGCTTGAGGCGACGACGAAGAGCTCTGCATTTCTTTTTTTGAATTTGCAAATCCTGCGTCCACCAACTGATGTTTTGTATTTTCTTAGCGGTGCGTGTCGGCAACTGTTCATCACAGACATTCTTTAAAATTCTCATTAAGTCATTTGTTAAGTCTTCCATTTTTGCCGAATCATGTGCTTGATCCAGTGATGATTCAAGTAAGGCAATTTTCTCCTTTATGGTCCTTGTAAATGCACGTATTTTATTGTTTGGCAGGTTATAGCGGCGAATGATCATGGTTGTAGTTGGGCTATTAATGTCAAAAGTAATGTATTTGTGATCCGAAAGACTTTCAGTTTCTTCCACTTGCCAGTTTTGAATGTTTTGTGCTATGGAGAATGATGAAATAGTCAAATCCGGCCAGCCCTGTGCATATATGCGATCAAATGTTGGTGGCGCATCAGCAGTATTGTGTAAAACCAGATTGTTGGCAGCAATAAAGTCTTCCATAAGTTGACCTCTGGAGTCCGTCTGTGCATAACCCCATCCTGTATTATGGGCATTGTAATCTCCCGCCAGCAAATGTTTGAAGTCTTGAATCTTTGCAAAAGATCTTGGGAGTGTTGCAACGAGGTACTGATATCTGCGGATGGCGGAGAATACTGTGAAACTAATACTGCAGTAAAGTTTTGCAACTCTAATAGTATGGAAACACTATCTCGTTGAGTGGAAATGATAGTAGGTGCCCAAGCCGGATTACAAGAAACTATTATCGCACGTGGTGGAGAAGATGGATCAATATTTTGATAAACTGTCCACTTTAATGGGAAGCCTATCGCTTTCCCACTTCGTGTGTAAGGTTCCTGTATAAACAGAAGATCAGCTGCTAAGTTGGTAGCAAAGGTAACTAAGTGCGTAGTGGCAGATCGGGCATGTTGTAGGTTGATTTGTATACATTTTAAAGGCTGTTCTCTTTGGAAATGCGCGACATTTATGTGCTGTTGGGATTCTGGACTATTGCTTTCTGTTGTCAGGTGGCTAGGGATGTTACACTCTGGGATGGGGTTAGTATTCTGTACTAAGTCTAAATTTAAATGCTGTTCGTTGGTAGCAGGGACAGTTTGAATCGTAGGCTGGGTGTTGATAATCGAAGTTAGTACCAAATCGTTTATTTGAGTCGCCGCAGTTAATACAGGCTGGCATTTCTGCTTTGCAGTCCTTAACATTGTGTAGTCTTGCGCAGTAGGCGCAGAATGTCTTCTTACTTTGGCACTTATCTTGGAGATGACCGAATTGTTGACACTTAAAGCATCTTTTAATTCCAAGGAATTCTGTAATTGTATGTGCTTGCCAGTCCGTGTAGATTTTTCGAAGTTTGAGTGCTGCTGCAAATCCAGTGGGAGTACACTCGATGACCCATTGCACTCTGTTGGGGCGTCGTTCTTTGAGCCGGAAAAGCGGTTTGTAAAGATTTGCGGAGACTCCTGCAGTAGCACTAAGCTCGGCAATGAGTTCTTCAGGCCTGATCTGCTCAGAGACATTGTGTATGGCGCATCTGGGGCGTCGCTTTTCTCTTCGTTTGACATCAGCTTGTACATCTGCTTTTTGTATATGCTCCTGTAATTTATTTATGTCGTCTTGCGTGTTACAGAAAACTTCTATACCTCCTTGTCGAGCCTGCTGTATTTTACTGACAGTAACAGGAATTTTACTCAGAGGAATCTTCTCCTGAAGTTCACGACGTAACTCTCCTGGGTGTTTATTATACTTAGGCTGAATTATCAGACTTGGCTTACTAGAATTACGTAATACTTCCGCAAAAGTCTGTGGTTGAAAAGGTGGCGGGAGCGAAGGCACTCTTGGTTGCTCGTTGCAACTCTGTTGATCGTGAGCCGGATGTTGTTGTGAATGCGTATGGGCAATCTCACAACACAGGAGGGTTGATGTGTTAACTCCTATTTCAGCTTTATCAGCCTTGATTATATTATCAGGGCCTGCGAGAGATAATTTTTGTAGAGCTGCAAGTGATCCTAGCAGCTGCTCCCTTAGATCTGTTGGGAGGAGGTATTTGTTTCCACGATATGTGGTTGAAACTCTTCTTATGTTCTCACAAAGTATGCCCACCTTTTCTTCGTACGCAACGTGTGAATCAAGAAGCACTGAGGGGTCTAATTCACTCTTTTGTAATGCTATGTCACTGTCAGCTGAAAGTACTGTATGTCGTGACATGATATGTTGAGAATGAATTTAATGATGATGCGTAAAGCACTAGAATTAACAGTGCCACTTGCCAGTTAGAACGATGTTAGAGAGAACTGCTTATCAGTAGATTATAACTATAGGAAGTAAATCAATACATAGACCAGTTCGTTGTGTACTGATTGTCAGTTAGATAGCAGTAGACAGTACTGTCAAACAGGTCAGTGCTAAGTACTGGTATAAAATGAAAGTTCAGGTTACAGTTAAAAATTACGCTAAATCTATTTAAGATATAAATAACAGATCTAGAGAGCACTGGTTCTGTTGAGTACAAAGCACACTGTGAACTGTAGAAGGAAGTTGAATGCGCTAAATTACAAATAATACAATCATACAATGTTACTGCTCTGTTTAGTAGTGACAGAATGTCTCTATTATCAGAGGGATGTGACAGAGTTCAGTATGTGTTAAGGATAACAGTAACTTATTAACTTACTGAATATCAGATAGGATCAGCTAGATAAAACAGTTAGATACACTAATTCTGTAACATGAGATTTCATAATGCACAGTAAATAAAAAGGGGACGACACAGCAATTTAAATATCTAGTCAGTGCCTATTATCATAATTATAATATCAATAGCAATTATCACAATTAAGATCAATTAGTCGTTATCACAATTAAAATATCTAATCAGTCCTTGTAAACAATAAATGAATGGTTCTACAGTATGTCTAATTTACCCATCAAGTAGACCCTGCACGGTAATTGGGTTGTTGCACTTATATAATTATGTACAATCAGCACAGTGAGTAATTAAGTTGCAAAAAATATCCCAATTAGCACTTCATATTAACAGTCAGCGCGGAAAGTCTAATTAGCAATTTGGTGTAAACATCAAATTAACATAGCAATCACTTAATTAGCACAGGAATTTGACATTGAAGTTAATTAAACACAGTTAAGGCATTCCATGACATTCAATTTGAACAATAAACAACCAATCAACACCCTTTTAGCCAGGTAGTTAGAGATTGGTACTTAAATAATGTAATTAATTAACACAATTTGCTGCTTGTCTAGATAATCTAGTAAATTTAATTAGGAAGACCAATCAATTTCCGTTCAGCACAGTGGTTAGAGGCAAACACAATAATTAAGACATCCAATTAACAGTAATGGTATATATCAGTAAATCTAATTAAGATAACCAATCACTGTCCGAATATCGCGGCGATAGGAATAAGGCACAGTTGCGAATTTAATTAAATAGCACTTTAAGAGTAATCCAATTAACACTGTA